ATCCACCGCTCTCTCTTGCTGAGTTCAGATCAGAGGCGACCATGATGGAAAAGACCCTGCAGCAGCACGCGCGCCAATACAACAGGGACGTAAGCGTCTCATCTGTTAGCGCGGCGTCGACAACCCTCACGAGTAACATTGATCTCTTGCGTGAAATGGTGAGGGCTGTCGTAAGGGAAGAACTCCAGAAAATACACGACTCAAGCTCATCCAGCAATGTCCTCACTTGCCGACGTTGTGCGCGAAGAAGTGCGGCAAGCGGTTCTACAACCACAACCGCAGGTACTACAGCGCGCACAACCGGAGCCTCCGCCTCAGTTGTCGTACGCGCAAGCTGTACGACAGGACCTTGGACGCATGAATCGGACGGCTGCGACTGCTGTGATGCCTCCAACGTTTTCTCCGAGTACGCCGCTACCAATGCTGGAAGCAAGACCACGTAAGAGCGATGTATGGCGCACTGTAGACCGGCGGCCCCTTTGCTACCACTGCAGAGAAGCAGGTCACCTTTACCGGGCATGCCAGTATTGTCGAGCGGGACTGCGTGGTTTTCCAGTCAATGCACCATGCCCACGGAACGGTGAACGGCCCTACGAAATCGAAGAATACTTCTATTCACCTCAAGACACGCAACAACGGGAGTCACGTTCGACAGCATTGATGCGCTATTGGTCGCCGAGTCCTCGTCCGTCATCAAATCTATGAAGATCACGTTCACCTAGCCCGCGGCGGGAAAACTAGAGCCAGCGACCTCTGGAGGTGAGGCCGCTGATATACTGACAACTGAAGACCCTCCATTGTTAGCCCGACAGGACGGCGGCAGTTACGCAACGACGGTCAAGTGCAGTAGTAGCGACGTTACCTCCGAAATATTAGTCACGATCGACAATGTCGAGGCCGTTGCGCTAATAGACACTGGTGCAGACTATTCGGTTGTCAGTAATGCTCTCGCAAAGAAGCTTAAGAAGGTGATGACTGAGTGGGCCGGACCTCAGATACGTACCGCTGGAGGGCACTTAGTTAGTCCCGTGGGGTTATGCACCGGAAGGATAGGAATAAGAGGGTTTGTATATATCGGCAGCTTTATTGTGCTTCCTGAGTGCTCCCGGGAACTGATTATAGCAATGGACTTTTTGCAAACAAACAATGCAGTCATTGACTTGCAAGAGTCCCAGGTTTCGTTTTCTACGGAGAATGTCATCGCCTTCTGTCATGCGGAGAAACCAATCTTTCTACCTCTCCGCATTGTGGACGAAGATGTAACCGTGCCGCCACGTTCCAGTGTGACCGTTCTTGTGAGGAGGGAAGTTCTTCATGACTGTGACGGATTAGCTGACGGAAACATCGGACTGCTACTAGAAAAAGGACTATGCGTGGCAAGAGGCCTGGTTAGCCTTCGTGATGGATGTGCGTATGTCCTATTAACTAACTTTCGAAATGAGCTGCAGCATGTTGCGAAGGGAACATCCGTAGCATCGCTGCATAAGTACGTGCAAGTCTCAGATGTTTGCACTCTTGATAAAGCTTCAGAGACAGTAGATAACGTATTCCAGTCAGTAGACATTGACAAAGAGCTCTCGTCATCTCAGGAGCAACAGATTGCTGACCTCATCAGAGAGTTCGCCGAGTGCTTCTTCACCTCGTCGAAAGTTGAACGTACTCCCGTCGCAAAGCACCGTATCGTGGTCGAAGAACACGTGAGACCTGTGCATCAGCGCCCATACCGAGTAGCGCCAAAAGAAAGGGAAGCCATAAAGAACCAAGTGCAGGAAATGCTCAACGATCATGTAATCCAGCCATCCAACAGTCCGTGGGCATCACCGGTAGTGCTAGTCAAAAAGAAGGACAACACTCTGCGGTTTTGCGTTGACTACAGAAAGCTGAACCAAGTCACAAAGCGTGATGTTTACCCACTTCCACGGATCGATGATGCTTTGGATAAGTTACGCAATGCTCACTTCTTTTCATCATTGGACTTAAAAAGTGGATATTGGCAGATCGAGGTGGACGAACGAGATCGCGAGAAGACGGCGCTTGTGACCCCAGACGGACTATACGAGTTCAAAGTGCTCCCTTTCGGTTTGTGCTCTGCTCCCGCTACCTTCCAGAGGATGATGGACACTGTGCTCTCCGGGCTCAAGTGGCAATCGTGTCTCGTCTACCTCAACAATGTAGTGGTTTTTTTTTCTACCTTTGAGCAGCACATCCACTGACTGAGAATGGTACTGGATGCCATTCGCGTGGCAGCACTGACCATCAAACCGCAAAAGTGTCTCTTTGGATTTCGTGTCAGCTTGGGTTCCTCGGGCTCATAGTTAGTGCGGAAGGCGTCCGCCCAGACCCGGAAAAGATTGCAGCAGTTGAAAATTTTCTGAAACCGCAAGACAAAAAGGCCGTCAGATGATTCCTGGGACTATGTGCCTACTACAGACGCTTTGTTGAAAACTTTGCTGAGGTCGCTGAGCCTTTGACACGGCTAACGAAAGAAAGTGTACCATTTTTTTGGCGGGAGGAACAAGAAGCTGCTTTCTGAGAGTTGCGACACCGTTTGCAGTCTCCTCCAATACTTGCCCATTTTGACGAAGAGGCCGATACAGACATACATACCGACGCGAGTAACGTTGGCCTCGGTGTCATCCTCGTTCAGTGGCAGAATGGAGAAGAAAAGGTCATTGCTTACGCGAGCCGCACTCTATGGAATGCTGAGTCTAATTACTCAGCGACAGAGAAAGAGTGTCTCGCAGTTATATGGGCCATCAGCAAGTTTCGCCCATACCTCTACGGCAGACCGTTTCGAGCAATCAGTGATCATCATTTATTGTGTTGGCTGGCAAACATCAAGGACCCTTCAGGAAGACTTGCTAGATGGAGCCTGGGTCTGCAGGAACACGACATAACGGTGGTCTACAAGTCCGGTCTCAAACACAATGACGCGGATTGCCTGCCTCGCGCACCTGTTGAGTCTCCATCATCTGACCAAGAACAAGACATTCCATTTCTTGGAGTTCTGAATGTGTCGGAGATGGCTCGTCTTCAGCGAGAGGACCCGGAACTACGCCCGCTTATTCAATACTTGGAGGGTCACCAAATTGAGGTACCACGTGTTTTCGTCTGTGGTTTGACATCCTATGTCCTCCGGAACGACGTCCTATACAAGCGCAACTTCGTAAACACCGGTGAGACGTTTCTGCTTCTTGTATAATCATCACTGCGAGCAGAAATCTTAGAAGCGTGTCATGACGACCCATTGGCTGGCCATATGGGTAGTAGCCGCACTTTGGCCAGAATTCGCCGCAAGTATTATTGGCCGAAATTAAGGGATTCGGTGCACCATTATGTTAAGTCATGCCGCGATTGCCAGAGACGTAAAATGCCACCATCGAGACCAGCGGGTCTGTTGCAACCAATAGAGCCACCAAAAGGGCCATTTGAGCAAGTGGGAATGGATTTGGTTGGTCCATTTCCTCTCTCTTCATCGGGAAAACGCTGGATTGTTGTAGCAACAGACTACATGACTCGATATGCTGAGACATCACCTCTCGCGAAAGGAACGGCGAACGAAGTAGCCCACTTTTTCGTCACTCAGATTGTACTACGACATGGCGCACCACAGGTTGTCATTACAGACAAAGGAACAGCATTTACTTCCTGTTTGATGCAGTCTGTTATGAAGCTCACCCACACCGATCATAGAAGGACTACGGCATACCATCCGCAAACAAACGGATTAACCGAAAGGCTCAATAGAACTCTCGCCGACATGATCTCGATGTATGTGGACGTTGAGCACCAGACATGGGACAGTATTTTGCCTTATGCAACATTTGCGTATAATACCGCAGTACAAGAAACGACACACTTCACGCCATTTCAGCTTATTTATGGTCGGACGGTCACAACGACCTTAGACACGATGTTACCTGTCAACGATTCGAATGAGAGTGACCCACACATCAGCGACTATATAGAAAGGGCAGAAGAGGCACGGCAATTGGCAAGACATCGTATCATTTTGCAACAAGGCTCTGATGCAAGTCGCTATAATCTGAAGCAGAGAGACGTACAATACAACCCCGGAGACAAAGTGTGGGTGTGGACGCCTATATGCGCACCTGGCCTATTGGAAAAACTGATGCGGCGCTATTTCGGCTCTTACAAAGTACTTTGCCAGTTAGGCACGCTAAACTACGAAGTAATTCCTGTAGGGCAAGTGTGCTCAACCCGACGCAGGAATCGCCCAGAAGTCGTACATGTAGTACGAATGAAACCGTACTACGAAAGGCACTGAACGAGACAACTAATAAATGTGCTCAAACATCAGATAAATACTCCTTTACAAAACTGTTTGACGTCAGCGTACGCATCGGGACGATGCGTTTCAGGAGGGGGACTAATGCTGCATGTTGTTAGGCACCTACCGAAGTCTTGCCCCACTTCCTGCTCTTATGAATTCTGCCACACCAACTGACAAGCCAAACGTGCCAAGCTAAACGCGCCATGCAACGCTGGCTGCACGTGTCACCACATCACGTGCTGGACAAGGAACGCTGGCGGTTTTTCGAGGGGCAGCTCGAGGCGAGACGCAAGAGAAGTTGACGAGGTTTTGACCAGTGAGCTCACAACCTTTGTGTATTTAGTTGACGGGCACAAGTTCGCCATTAATAAATAGCTGTTTTAGCTTCCGGCACTGTATTTGTTCGTTACAATATAAAGAAGGCATGACAACTGTGGCATCTGGTTTTGTTACTGATTAATTGAAATAACTTTAATACAATAGACTTTCAGTAAACGGAAATCTGTTAAACAGAACTACTGCTAAGCGGAACTATTTTCTCTGCTATGCTTGGTTTTGGGCTTGTATTCTGCATCTATGTTCTTCTCTCAGTAAATGGAGCTCCTGTTAAATGGAACATATTTTCCCTGTTCCTTCATATTCCATTTACTGAGAGTTTACTGTAATGTAATTGAAATTATTTTGTGACACTACCTCGTTATTCCAGGTGCCTGCATGGAGGCCAACAGCATTCCATGGAAAACCAGAGCTGCGCATACAGCTTCGGGAAATAGTTCAGTGTACTCAGGTTGGTTGATTTATGTTCTTATGTTTTGATTGTTGGATTTGTGGTATTCACATGTATGAGACTCTCAGTAAAAAGAAATCTCTTGCTGCTTGAATGAAACAGGTCCATTTTGTTTTATACTGGAGTTCTGCTACCCTGTCTCAGTAAACAGTACTCCTACTAAACTGAACATATAATTGATTTGAGTTTATTGGCAACAAGGTTGCAATGATGACTAGGCAAGCTTGAGAGGAACCTGGCCACCTCATGCATTACTTGGCAGCTTCACAGCAGTCGAACAGAATTTTCATCCCTTCAGGCTTTAGTTACTGCGAGCCTATTGTATATCATCATTTATATCACTTCAGCATCTGCCAATTTTACCTTATCACTTCAGCACCCACCCCGTTGTCTTCTACTTTGTGCGGTTCTGTGCTATGCATTCTGCTTAACTGTTTGGTTGCCATGAGAGAATGTTCATTTTTGTAGGTATGGGTAATAAGTCTGTTGCTTCTTTAAACAGTTCTCCAGCATGCATTGTAACCTACGAAGTTATGCATAATGGAATGCTCTTTCCTAAAAATAGCTATACTTCTAGAAAAATGTGGTATATATAACAATTCGGGATGAGCAAATATTCGAAATTTCGAGTATTCTTTGAATAGTTCAGTTCAGTTCAGTTTATTACCTTAAAGGCCCCCCCTTTTCTTGGAGGGGCATTACGTAAAGGGTGGGGTTTTATTTAGGTTAACAATAAGCAGTAAAAGTTGTTTTAGCATTGAAGATGATCAATAATACGGTCTTAAAAGGCAGATGATGAGGCGATGTTGGCGTTGTCCCGGGGGAGGCCGTTCCTGTCCGTGGCTGCTCCGTCCTTGGCCCCTTGTTCTGTCCTTGGCCCCTTGTTATTTCTAATATATATTAATGACCTACCAACGAACTTAACTTGTAACATACGCATGTTTGCTGATGACTGTGTTTTGTACCACACAGTAACGAATGTATCTGATCAAATTAGCCTCCAAAGTGACATTAACCAAGTGAAGCGTTGGTGTGAACGGTGGCAAATGGAACTTAATCCTAACAAATGTAAACTTGTGTCGTTTCAGCGTCGCCATAACCCGCTCACCACTTTCTACGTAATCTCTAACACTCCTGTTCAACTTGTGCAATCCTACAAATACCTTGGCCTAACTTTGTGCAGTGACCTAACTTGGGCTGAGCACATCCGGACTATCATCGCAGCTGCTAATCGTACTCTCGGCTTCCTAAAAGGTCATCTGCGCAACACACCCCGCCATGTAAAATTATTAGCATATCAGTCCCTCGTAAGAAGCAAGCTTGAATATGCATCGTCAATTTGGAGCCCACAACACGCGTATCTCATTGCTGCACTCGAATCACATCAAAACCGTGCTACTAGATTCATTCATTCCTCATATGCCTATCACATTAGCGTGTCATCTTTAAAAGAAGAAATTGGCCTGTCCCCTCTATCTTCCCGCCGCCGCATTGCCACCCTTTGCTTGTTTCATAAACTTTTTCACAGTCCACTTGCAATCGAACCTTACATTTCCCCCCCATTTCGCAGGTCATATCGCATTGGCCATATCTTTCAAGTTGCCCGTCAACGTTCCCGCACCGTTACTTTTGCTGCCTCATTTTTTCTTCGTGCAGCAAAAGACTGGAATGACCTCCCCCACCATATTGCAGCAATCACCTGTCCATCAACATTTATGCATAGCGTCACAAGCCATTTTTCAAACTAATTTATGGCTTTTTTTGTACATTTTTTGTAACCCCACTCCTTATGTAATGTCCCCTGGGGACCTTTAAGGTAGTAAAGTGAAATGAAATGAAATGAAATGAAAAAAGAACGAGGCAGAAAAAGCAGCGGTGCGCGATGATGGGCGGGCAACCTGAAATGGATGACTGGTTCGATGAGATATGCGTGCTGCGGCTGCTATATAATGTGGCTGATTGAGGGAAGAATGAAACAATTTGTGATAAAGCACGAGAGTTGCAGTGCGGCGGCGAAAAGAAAGGGGCAGTCCAGATTTCACTTTCAAAGATGAAATACTGATATCGTATGAGTAAGATAAGTGAATGAATCTAGCAGCACAGTTTTGTACAGCTTCTAATGCATTGATTAAATACGTTTGATATGGGCTCCATATGGCAGATGCATATTCTAATTTCGGTCCGATTAAAGATTTGTACGCACATAATTTTACATGTAGGGGGGCTAGGCGGAGATGGCGTTTGAGAAAACCAAGTGCTTTATTAGATGCTGAAACTACATTAGCGATGTGGGTATGTCATGATAAATGATAAGACAAGGTTATTCCAAGATATTTATAAGATGGTACTGATGCAATTGCGGTGTTCACGATGGAATACTGGAAGCGATATGGGCTGTGACGACAGGAAAAGGACACAAGTTTACATTTAGAAGGATGAAGGGTTATCAATCATGTGTTACACCAATGAAGCACGCTGTTAAGATTGGTTTGGAGGTACAGGTGATCATGCTGGTTACTGATAGTGTGATAAATGGCACAGTCATCCGTGAACATGCGAATGCAGCAGGATACATGATCGGGCAAGTCGTTAATATATATTAGGAATAGACGGGGATCAAGGACAGATCCTTGGGGAACGCCTGATGTGACTGGGAGAGAGTTAGATAGGTGACCATTAACAAACACTGACTGAAAACAGTTAGTGAGAAACTGTTCAATGCAACGAAGAATGTTGACTGGGAGAGAGTTAGATAGGTGACCATTAACAAACACTGACTGAAAACGGTTAGTGAGAAACTGTTCAATGCAACGAAGAATGTTAGGGTCTAGGTGCAGGTGTGAAAGTTTTAGCAAAAGGCGGCGGTGAGGAACTTTATCGAAAGCTTTCGCGTGGTCTAGAAAAATTACATCAGTCTGTATGTTACGGTCTAGGTTAGTGTGCAAGTCGTGAAGAAAGAGCGCTAATTGTGTTTCGCAGGAGAGACCTTTACAAAATCCGTGTTGTGATTGATGAAAAAATTACATGAGTTCAAGAAACTTGTGATTTGAGAGTAAATGACGTGTTCCATGATTTTACAGGGTACACTAGTTAATGAAATGGGGCGGTAGTTCAAGGGTGAGTCTCTGTTACCTGATTTGTACACTGGAACGATCTTCCCCGTTTTCCAGTCATCTGGAATGATTCCTGTGGTGAGTGACTGTCAAAAAATCAAAGATAAATAGGCGGCACGAATTGATTTACGATTCTTCAGTAGCTTAGAACTAATTGAGTGCATACCGGCTGATGATGAAAGCTTCATTTTATCGATTACGGACGCAATGCCTTCTTCGAAAAACGAGATAGTTGGCATGAATGCTTCGATGTTAACTGATGGTGACTGTGAAGGTGCGTCAAGCTCTTCAGTAAAGACAGATGCGAATGCGGTGTTAAATATTTCTCCACATTCATGGTCTGTCACTGGTTTGTGTGCGTTGTTAGTCAGTGTGATGTCGTGAGTCTGCTTTGGATTTAAAAGTTGCCAAAATTTCCTGGGGTTGCTGGTTAGTAGCTTTGGTAAGTCATCGTGATAAAATTTATGCTTGGCCTTCCGGATCTCAACTAGATATGATTTTTTAACTTCCAAGTATTTATCCCAGTCACTCCGGGTCTCGCAACGTTTGGCCGAACGGAACAGCTGTTTCTTTTTATTTCCCAGCCATTTTAAACATACAGAAAACCATGACTTATTGTGGTTAGTATGAAAGGTAACCCTTGGAATGAACACGTTAGTGAGCACACTTAATTTATTTTTGAATATTGACCAATTTTCATGTATTGTGCGAGTGGGAAACACTGATTTGTACTCAGAAAAAAAGGTGTTAAGGTCTTCAGTTATTGCATTGTAGTTTCCCCGGTTGTAAAGGCATATTTTTTTGGGGGATGTGTACTTTGGAGCGGAACTGAATGAGAATAGGGCACGTATGATTTTATGGTCCCTGATTTCTGGGAGATAACTGATAGATGAAAGGTTCTCAGGACTGTTAGTTATTATTAGGTCTAGGATGTTTGCTGTTTCTTGCGTAACGCGTGTTGGTTCCAAGACTAACTGACTCAGGTTAAAATTTAAACATACGTCAATGAAGTTTTTAGCCTCTCTATGACATAATAATGAGGAAATGCCTAGGTTATGCCATTCGATGTTCGGGTAATTGAAGTCACCAAAGAGAAGGATGCGAGCATTGGGGTAAGTGGCAAGAAGTTGCCTTAGGCTATTGTTTAGGTGCCTACAGAAGTCTGGATTAGTATGCGGTGGCCTATAACAAACACCAAGAAGTACTGTTAGGGGAGGAGCGTGACAAATGAGCCATAATGATTCAATGTTGGATGTGACGTGTACAACGGAACATAATATACCTTGGTGAATTGCGACCAAAATACCACCCCCTCGAGTACACTTTCAGTAGCTACAATACACGCGGAATTCAGGTAAGTCAGTCAGAATTTCAGTGTCTGAAATGTTATCGTTGAGCCAAGTTTCAGTTAATACCAGCATATTGCTTCCGGATGACAAAACAATGTTTGATAAGAGTTCGCGCTTTGGAAGGAAACTGCAGATGTTAGTAAATATTACGGAAAATGAGAGTGGTTCGGCAAGTGCCGGGCGTTGTCGGTTTGTAGGTACATGTTGACAGGACGATTGCTATGCGATTTCTTTAACTACCCTAGACAATTTATCAAAAATATAAGGTTTCGGACCGCTGTGCAGGGTTTTATACCGCAAGGAGAACTTAGCAGACTTAGCCTTGGCAAATGCTATTAATTGTTTTCATGCGTGTCGAATGGAGAGCGAAAAGTCCTCTCCAATGCTAAAGTTAGTATTTCTTAATTTCCGGCCATTTGATAGGATCGAGTCCTTTGTTTTGTAACATGCGAATTTCACGATTACGGGACGATTTTTACCGAGCGAATGATGACCAAGGTGATGAGCTCTTTCGAAGTTATGAGGTCCTACGGTTATT